TCCCTCAAATAATATATACATATATATAAGCTAATTGCTTCTACTTTTAACTAATTAGTCTTTTTCTATTATCACAATCGTAATTTTGTTTGAATTGTGTTGTAAAATGAAATTCATGGTAACCAAAAAAGCATGTATGATTGAAAAATTAGAAGCAAAGACGACCATTGGAAAATTTACAAAAATCAAAACTCTGATGAAGTTGTGCTCTAGCACTCGATAGGGATGATGGGCAACCTCTCGACGACCCCATTGATTAAGCACAACTCGATACTCCACGTGGAAGCTCATATTTTTAATCTTTAAAAAGCTTTATACACTCTTGTAAATGTAGCACTCTCATCATTATCACTAGCTCCTTCACACATGCATGTCATTTCGTTTTTTTTATTTAGAATTAAAAAAGATTACAAAATAATTCAAAACAATTAATTACTATTTACCAAGTAATTTACAAAATCAGTAAAATATTTAAATATTCACTAAATAAATAATAATTAAAATATAATCTATATATATAAAGCAAAAGGCAGAGAATGGTGAAATATTCAAAATACTAGAAAATGCCCTTGTTAATTCAAACATTAAGAATTGAAATTATTAATTAATCTATCTAAATTTTTTGCTTCTTTTGTTGGGGGGTAAAAAGAACAACATGAACCTAAAAAACCCTAGTGGAGCTCCCCAGCTAGGCATGGCAATTATCCCCCGGGTAATATATATGGGTTAGGATCGGGGGACATACATAAAACCACACCTTTTTACACACATCTTCAGCCCTTAGATCCATCCCAATCTAACGGTTCAAAATTCATTTGAGATGCACTTAACTTTGCATTTATTACTTTATTGGCAATAAACACAAACTTCTAAAACTCCTCTCTCTCATTTTTTTTTTGTTTTTTTTTTTTTGAGTTTTTCTATTTAAACCCCGCACTTATCTTTGTTCACCTCATATTCTATGTTCACCTTAACTTCTAATTCAAATTTTACCAATTCCCAAGAAAACCCACTATCTTCTCAAACTACCCCTAAATACACACTCAACAGAAAAATAAAAAATAAAACACTCATCAACCTCACACCCCACACCCCGCTATCTTGCCCCTCACCACTCTAAGTTCATTTCAACCTCACATTACTTAAAGAGAGAAAAACACTGTTATCAAATGTAGTAGCAGAATTATTCTGTTATTATTATTAATTATTAAAAATTTGAGAATGAACTAGGAGGTTTTGATAGAGAAGATGAGAGTGTAGTTGGTTTCTCGGATTGAAAGAGAATAGTAATCTGATAATAGGGTGTAGAGTTCTCATAAAAAAAATAGGGTGTAGAGGAGTTTGTGTTTTTCTAAAACTTATAATATGAAGAGTGGTGGGGTGTATGGTGTGTGTATAGATATACTAGGGTTAAGTATTAAGTTGGATGACCTTTTTTTGTCTTTTTACACAATAATAAAACTTAAGAGCTTAATTATTTAAGTATTGGAGTGAACAAAGAAAAGTGTGGAGTTTAAATAAAAAAACCTCTTTTCTTTTTCAATTATCTCTCCTTTTTAATTTGATTTCATGTCTATTTCCCAACTTCATAACCCATCTCCCTATGCAGCTCTGTTACTTCCGCAACTCCCTTTGTACATAATATGCTTGGAAAATATCTTATTGCACTAATTAAGATAACTATAGTGAGAATCTCCCTTTACATATTCAATGAAATCCAATAGGAGATATCCTTTTTTTTATTTCTTTCAACAAAGTAGTTTTATATTGATTTTTTCTTTTGTAATGGGCGGGTCGAGGAACCCATTCCCAACGAAGGTGGGGATGGGGAATCCCCGATATGAATATTGTGGGTATGAAGGCGGGGATGGGGAAAAAAGCTTAACGGGGATGGGAATGGCATACCCACCCCAGATTCGACCGATTCCATCCATACCCAAGCAGATATAGATTATTTATTCATCAACCTCACACCCCACACTTACTTTTTGCATTTCATTTTCTTCTCTCGCATATTATTATGTGTTATGGTAATATCATGTGGCATATGTTATGTGTCGCTATAAGTTCACTCAAATTATAACATTTGTAATATTATAAACTCTAAAATTATATCTGTGTTATAATATAAGTTTATAAGAAAATCTGATGTCTCACAAGGAGTATATTTCTTTGTCCCCCAATACTTATTATGTGACCATTTTATGTGAGGGCTATAAACATATAGGAATATATCCCAGAATGCAAGTAAGATTCTCTCATAGACATAAATTTTATGTGCGATATTGTCGAAAATGTACCAATAACATATCGATATATTTTGTTACCAAAAATAATATCGACACATAATAAATGATATATCAAAAATTCATTTTTAATAAAGAATGAACGTCTAAACTATAGCCGGACTACTCTAAAGAATTCATAATTCCACACATATCACGCCATGTTACCCCCACCACATCTATGCAAGTAGTAAAAATAAAGAATAAAATAAGAGAGTAAACAAGTTCCAAGTTGTAGACTTATTTGCCAGTTGATTGCAACAGATGATTATTCCCCGGAATACTTTATCCACTATATTCACTCTCTGGTGTCAACTCCAAGTTGTAAAAAAAACTTAAAAAACAACTAATGGATTCCGTGGAATCACACCGACCCTGCAGATTATTACCATTACTGAATCCTTCTCTTCCTCTCAAAATCTTTCTTCCTAGAGAGACAACTTTCCCGGAAAACGAAAGAAAAATCACTGCTTTCCCAGAAAATGATCGAGCCAGAAGAGGAAAGCCAAACTCAAGCCATTCCGCCAAAGTCAAAGAACGTGGTAGACGACAGAGAAGCTGCGCTCATGGAGTTTGATCTTGACCTCGATGCTTTTTGGCCGTTGGATCCGATTCACTTTCCTTCTAACCCCACGTCCTCCTTTGTTCTCGTCCACTGACCAGCCCTGTTCTCCTTTATGGGGTTTTCCTGATGGTGATGCTGATAATGATGATAAGCTCGCTGGACAAGTTGATCAAGCTCTTTCTGACCGTCCTCAATTCAGTTCC